TGTAGGAACGGGAAACCCTTTTTACTGGCAAAGAGGTATTCCATCTTAGTCCTCACGGGTGACAAGGCATTTGCATCTTGAGTCTTTATTGATGATAGATGTAGATGTCTATGGGTCACAGTAACCACTTACCATCAGGTGGACTATGTGCTCGTTTGTCACCCTATCCTATAAAAAAAACGTACACGTACATAAACGTACACGTACATACAAATATTTTAGAAGTGTGTACCACAACTGAGGTATTAAAATGAAATGGCGCAAAAGACGATATTGGATGCTGAAGATCCACCAAGATAGGACAAGGTACTTATGAGTATCATTAAGCGTGGTCGTTCATATACTAAAAAGAGAACTTAAGAACAATCTAAATCTTTAGTTTAGTTTATTACTACGATTTTAAGTTCTTTTTGTTTAATACGTATGAAACACTATCGTCCGGTCGGTGACTAACTAAACAATGGGTCACTGTGTGAACACCACCGGCCACGCTACGCCGTTTCCTTTGAAGTGTGTCGAAAAACCGACAACATCGCCATTGCTCCATTGCCTATTGTCAACTGTCGGCCATCACACGCCATTGTGCCCTCTACACAATGGTAATGACCTGCAGTGGACCACAGTGGGCCACTGTGTACAGGAGCCTTAATATATAATCAAAGCTTACCAGTTAGGCCATGGTTAACATGAAACAATATAATAAATTACACTATGCATATAATCCCTGACATATAATTAAAATATTTTATTACAGTTGCCGTAACGAAAATGTGTTTAAAACAAATATTTTGTCAGCTATATCCAAAGACTTCTATGTAGATATACTACCAGTCCTAGGCCGGCAATCCAGAACAAGAACTTAATCACAGCAGCTGTAGATCGCGCGGGGCGGCACATGAGTAAATAAACGGAACATGGACAAAGCTTCATAAGAACGTGCAAAATTGTTACCTATTTTGGTAGGGTTGTCACAATAGGTGAAGACAATTTAAACAAAAATATTTATTTGTTAAATAGTTTTATTATTCATAATGGTAGAATACTTTACAAATTACTTACTCTACTTATTGTTTCTTTTAATGGTGTGGTAAATTTTGAAAAAGTTTTTTCAAGGAATCTAACGGGAAACACTCACATGGCATATCAAATTTACAATTAATTAAGTAAGAGTTCCCTCGTAAGGAAACAATGCTGGCTGCAGTAGCAGTTCATAATAAAAAATTATTACCCATTGAGGAGTTCCCTAATGAGGACACAATTCTCGCTGCAGCATCAGGTTATATCTATCACATTATTGCATTGTCACTGAAGTTACGGTATACAAAATTTCACCTCAATCAGACAACGAGAATTGGTTCAAATTTTACTTTTAATATGTGAACTTATCACACATGCCTACTACATACCAACTCATCCACATACCTACAAATGTTTAGTAAACGCTTGTAATAACAATAAAAATGTAAAAACACACCGTATAGTTACCCTGTTCTTATAAAAAAAGGATCATACAGTAAAATAAAGATACTTACTTCAAAAAGTAATAATCAAATATTTACTTACCAATTGTACTCCTTGGGATAGTTAAATTACGATATATTTTTATTTTTTAAAGTATTAGTCATACAAACAGTACAATAAATAACCATTATTAATAATATCACGTTTTGATATTAAAATATACAAACTTGCAACTAACAAAACAAACAATGTGCGTCGCACTGACCCTGAGATTGTTGTCCACTGGCTGTATCAGCGTAACCAGTTTTTTCCAATCTCCCCGCGTACACGACAAGCGGTGGTCACTCAAGCATACCCCGCGTGCTTGTAGTGGTGCAACCGATTCGCGCGGCTGCATGAAACTTTATCTCTGTTTCGCTTATTTACTCATGTGGGGGCGGGTAGGCTGGCCCGGTAAATAACTCACGCAGTTATATTTTCATTCATGACGACAATTACTGCTTTTAGGCAAATCTATCTATCTATCTGTCTATATACTATAATAAAACTCTAACACGTCTCTCTGAACATGCATCACACAAAAACCTGTGAACCGATTTGGATGAGATTTTCACTGGCAGATAGCTGATATTAGAAGGAGTAACTTAGGCTACTTTTATTTTAGGACAAGAATTAGGGTTTCGTGCAGAAAAATTAAAACTCATGAAATCCAATCGCAATAAATTTCACGCGGGTGACGCGAACGCGAACAGCTAGTAAGAAATAAAGTTATATACCTACTTATCTGAAATAAAGTTCAAATCACAAGTTGACAAAGTGTACATACACACACATATATACAAATGACAGCGTTTTCTTAGTCACATTTAACAAAATCAGTATAAAACAAAGTTCGCGGTTTACAAAACAAAGACCTAGTCTTCCCGCCAGCTCGCAGTTGAGTAAAGAAATTACGGAGAATTGACCGTAACTTAGTTCGCAATTTATTAGTACCGTAGCCACATGAATAAATAAACGGAACAGAGATAAAGCTTCATACGAATTCGCGAATCGGTTGCACTACTACTACAAGAACGCAGGGCATGTGTGCGTGACCACTGGCCGCTTGTCGCGTACGCGGCATGACTGGGAAAAATCGGTACGCTGTCACAGCCAGTGGACAACAATCTCAGGGGTCAGTACGACGCACGTTTGTTACGTTAGTTGCAAATTTGAATATTTTAATGTAAAAACGTAGTATTTATGGTTTAATATGTATAATATAATATATATAATTTAAGTTTAATTTAATGGTTGTTTATTGTACTGTGTGTATGAACAATACTAGAAAAAATAAAAATATGTAATACTGTCAACGAAATACTTAAACCTATTAGATTGTAAATTTGATATGCCATGTGAGTGTTTCCGTTTAGATTACTTACTTGAGAAAATTTTATCTTAGATTCAGAATTTAGCACACCATTATGAGAAACATAAAATTATTAAAAAACAAAAATTATAAAAAGATAATTATTAAAGTAAGTAATTTGTAAAGTATTCTATCATAATGAATAATAAAACTAACAAATGTTTTGTTTAATTTGTTTTCACCTATTGTGACAACTCTTCCAAAATAGGTAACAATTTTGCACGTTCTTAAGAAGCTGTGTCTCTGTTTCGTTTATTAAGTGGCGAAGCTTGCGAAGTAACTTATTGATTTCACGATGTCTGTCCGCCTGTCCGTCTGTCCCACGATTATCTCGAGAACGGTTTCGAATTTTCAAATTCTGTTTTCAGCAATCGATTACTGATCACCCAGGCATCTGAACCTTCTATTTTGAAACTGATTGCTCAACGGCAACCGTTAGAAACCGCTACAAAGCTGATTGCTTCGCCACTTTGCTATGCTGTTAGCTTGCTAGGTTTATTACTATACGTAACCGTAGCGTCGGTCTAGTGCCAGTAGTTTCCATACAAGTCTGGCTGTATCAATAAATATTAATAATTTTCATTTATACTACCTACACGAATATAGAGCTTTGATTATACGCACATTGTAAATATACTAAAAGAGGATTTGTAATTTATATGTATATGTGTGTATGTAAGTATAGGAAGGTAAAATCTATATTTAATGTATGATCACGCATTAATTACCTTTCGGCCATAATTAAATACTGTGGAACACAGATTATAAAAGAAAATGCTAGAGCAAGACCTTTTGAAAGCCATGCTATAGACGTACATAGATTGTATGAGCAGTGAGCAAGAATACCACGTTGCAAATTTATCTTGAACGTGAGCAAAAATGTAGGCTTTCCTATCGTATACAAAAAAACACAGGATACATTTTTGTAAGTTCAAATTTCAATAATAGTTTCAGTAACTTTTCATTTACCTATTTTTCTTCTCACTGAGTATACAACATAAAAACCATTAATTATAACCATAATTAATGTTTTGAAATAACTGCAGGTCTACAATTATTCTGCGTCATGACGTCATCTTTGGATGCGATTAGTAAATTCCAGAAGAAAGGAAAACATTTTTTTTTGGATCCGCATTGATACTATTTATGAGTGGACGTCCGTTGTCCATGTAGCGTAATCCTAGGTTTTCTTTTAAAGATTTAATTTCTTAGTTTTTATCATGAATTTGTTCAATATTTTCGCTTTACTGAAATAGTTTAATAATTTGGCGTAAGTATTATGGGGACATTTAGATTATTTTTGTATTATTAATTTTGATTTAGAAACAGTATGTGTCGTCTATTAATTGACGTTAATGTGGTTGGCGTGGTGAGCACGTATTCGTTTGACGTCTAAGTTGGTCGTGGCAAAAAGAGGCAAAAGGTTAAAGTACAGTAAAACTCTTTCCAATATCTAATATTATAAAAAGGCAACACGAGGAGTACGTCTTTTATACTTATAACTCAACTTCATTTTCTGATATAAAATGTTGTTTTACAATTTTGATTCACTTTATTGTAATCATATCTTCTTTGATAACCAAATATATATATATTATGAAAAAGCTGATAATTGCTTGGTCTGATAAAAGAAACTTAAATGTCAGACATTATATAAATGTATGAGCCGTTATAAAATGTTATATCCATTCTTGAATATAAAATGTAGCAAATTCCTGTTCAATTTTTACCTTCAAAGTCGTAAAAATTGAATAATACTACTACGCTACGCAAATTCTATTGTCAATTATAGTAAAAGTTATGTAAATAGATTATTTATTAACTTTAGTATAAAAATCTGTTAATAGCTTACGACCTATATAAGTTTTAGACGATTAAATAAAAAGTAATGTGAATGTGAAACTACTTTTTTAATTTTTCATTTAACTTGAAGGGTGAGAAACGGTCTCATTCTGCAAACATTTTGATGTGACCTGGTGCCTTAAAGGGACTATTATGTAGGGGGCATCAGCTAAAGTAAGGGAATACCATTCGTCTAGACTTGTTGAACGGTAACTATCGACGGGATAATGACATAAATTGCAGAGCTCAGTTTTAAACAACGATATTTCAGTCGGCATACTATAGTCTAAGCATTGGATTCCTTAAGGTCGGTAAGCCTCGCTAGTTGCGCGGGTTCAAGCTCGTCGGGAATAGAGGCACGCCCGCCGTGTGGGGCTGATGGGGGAGATTGTGGTGCGGTGGGGGGTCCAGAGGCGACGGAGGCGCCAGGAGACTCGCCCTCAGATGCTGTGGAACTGGAGGCCGGATGAGGGGCAGAATAGCCCGGGCCATCTTCTGAGTTGCGGAGGCAAACGGCGGTTTGCTCTGATAAAGACGATTCTTCGTCTTCGTTTTCCTCGGCTTGCGGCTCGGGCTCGGATTCCGGAGGCGGGAAAGGCTGGTCGGGCTCCTCAACCATTGGCGTCGCTGCGGTGATCACTATTTGAGCCACGCCCAGGCCGCAGCCGCTCCCACCGGCTTCAACATTCAGTGGTACAGGTTTGCTCGGTGGCGGTGGTTGTGATGCTTGTGGAAGCGGGGGCGGCGGTGGCGGCTGGGGCGGTGCCTGCTTCTCTTCTTCCTGATTTAAGAACATTATTTTTTTATGGAAATGATTCATAATTTACTTTTGTGTATCACTGTCAAAGCTAAGTAATTGCTTATTTCATATAAGTACTCGGCACGACATCAATTTCATTTGCATGAAAGCGTTAAAAACGGTATATAAAATTTTATAAACGTGTTCACAATGATTATAGTTTTTAATATGTACATAATATATTAAATGCATGCAGTAATCATGCAAAATGAAAAGCCATGGTAAATCTAATGAGATTATGGAATGTGTCACGTTAATATACGTGTATAAGCCTATAATAAATTCGCTACATACTGGATGTCTTAATACTCACACATATAATATTCAGTTGAAGTTATTTACTGTAATTTTAAAGCTAAGTATAATTTTGTATTAACCTCGGTGTAATTAAAATAAAACATAAACTATAATAACACATAATACTCAGCATATTTTGTCAAATGCTTAAAGAAGCGTGAATTTTTATTATTGTTACACAAAATTTCCATTAGTCAAAATCAATATATAAAATATCACACTAGCCAAAGAATATAAAATAAACATATTGATACATGTTAAAAGAAACCACACATGTAAACTTATTCAAATAATACCGTGGTCAAATTTAGTAATATTGTATACTCTTTAGCACCCGGTGAAAATTACGTCAAATAAGTCGTGGTAAAACTCCATTGGTAAAAAGTTTTGACAGTTGGAAATTTTAAATTGTTTTCCAAATATGCCCTAAAAAAAATATTCTAGCCGTGAGCACTTGGCACAACGAAGCGTTGCGAAACAATTATAGCGGGATATAAAAGCATGCCTACATATACATATATGTTAAAAGCAAACCTCATCCTCAATATTTTCACCAACAACCTCATCGACTGGAGCATGGAAAAGATTTTGAATAATATCATTAACACAACTCTTTGTAAAAGCGTAACAAATGAAAATAAACAAGTTCGACAAAAGTATTTTATTCTTTTTTTATTCAAACGAATATTTACGTACTCTACATATACTTATAACATTACATTTTAGTTTTGTTACATGTAAGAAACCTGTAATTTTAGTGTGTAGACAACCGCTGCTTGCTATAAGGTTTGAATAAAGTTTACTTGGAAGTTGTTTCGTATGATCACTTTTATCAGTAAGTACTTTTTTCTGCGTTCTGTGATCAATATTTTTTAATTATTTTCCTCTTATTATACATATATCGTCCAGCAGTGAACTATTACGTTCAGTTAGAATAAATAAATTATGTTTCAGTGGACACCGTCATTAATAAATTATTACTACATTATAAATTATAATATTATGATTTGAATCTGCTACATTTAGCAGGTTTCAGAACTTGGTGGGAATTGTAAATTGTGTTACAAGTAAACAAATTACTAATAGGAATTTGACTACAAAAAATTATTTTTTACATAGAACATTATTTTTTTATGAAAATTTAATTTACATACAGATACAATTTTTAAGAAAGTTTTCGTTTTGACGGCACTTTGAAAGTATTTCAAACTGTTTGCTATCCCACCTGCTTCGCTGGCCGTAGCAGTTTATTAAACTTTAATAATTATTGTTATAAAAACATCTTATGTTCTATTCCAGGATATTATTAACTTCTTAAGTTGATTACGACCTGCCAAATTTCACAATTTAAAAAAATCACAAGTGTCAAGAACCCTGCAGAAAAGAAAGTTGTAATTTTTGTAAACTAAAAGTTTCAGTTAATGCTATTGCAGGCAAAAAATAAATAGAGGACTAAAAATATATCACTTGACACTAATGTTTAACCTGTTTCAAAGATACCTGGGTTAGCTTTATGTTTCTACTGGCTGGTGGGTACTGGATTATTAAAATGTTAGTATAAAACGATAGAAGTACTGTATCACAGAATTAACCCCTAATAGCTGATGCTAGCAAATCATTTAAGCGTTCCATATTTCTCGAGAATTGGGTAAAAGTGACCACTTGTGTGTTTATGATTGACGCCATAGAGTTTTTTTATGATTGAGGCACTATAATATATTTAGTTTTGATGTAAACTTCTGCGGCAGATCTATGTTGCCGTAGTTGAAAACTTACCGACGATAGTAACAGCAGGCGCAGACGATTTGCTTTGTTCTTGTTCGGAAAATTGCAAGTCGTATTGTTCATGCTGGTTGTGACTTAGCTCTAAGTTAAAGCTGAAGTCCGGTTGACTGTCCATAGAGTCGTCGAGGTCAGCTGGCGGAGGCGGTGGGGGGTCGGCCGGTGGAGGTGCGGCACCCTTGCTATTATTGTTGTCTGCCATGATCACTAGCAGCGTCCAAGGACAGCACACATATTTCAGCCACAGAAAACGACTAAACATTTAATTTTTGAAAAAACGCTATACAGTTGACTTGGTTAAACACACAGTAATAAAGCAGAAAAGAAAAAAACATTTAGATATTTATTTAGCCAATATTTTATTTCAAAAAAACTTGATCTCAAAATGACTACGTAACATTTATAATAATTCTTCTATTAGCTTAAAGTTGTATTTGATTACGTACAATCAAAGTGACCGTCACTTTATATACTAGATTAGTTAAAGGAATTATCGCAGGTGGATTTATTAGTAACATATGCGAAGAAAAAAACATCTAATAGATGTGTACAGAAAGGAGACAATAGTTTTTGGGCCCACTAGAAAACAAAAAATAATTAACATAAAATAGGAACTGACATAGACAAGGTAGGTATAGAGACAAGACCTGCCATAGGCATCCTACATACATCCAAGCATCCAACCGTTGGGCACGGGCTTTCTCTCATTTATGAGAGGACACTTAGTGCAGAAAAGACTCCGTGCATTTTGGTGGACTTTAATTATCTTAGAAATATATTTTTTTATATATATATGACGCGTAGGAGACGTAGGACGTTGTTTTCCTACATTGCCGAGCAAGTGGTAAATAAGCAGTTATAGCTGCAATCAACAATTTCATTGATATGGTATCGATTTCGGTTTGCGTTAGTTCAAGAAATTAGAGTAAATCTTATCCCCTGAACTAATAAAATTTATATTTTGTTAATGAATAAATCAACACACTGATAAGCATGTTTCTGAGTTTTTTGAACTAAATAAAATGCTTTTACAAAACTGAAAAGTTTTGTTTAAATCGTTATTTATATTTAAGCAATATAATTACTACACATATTAATTTTAACGTGCAGAATTACGTGCAATCATGAATATAATGTGAATGATCTATTATGATTCTGCGCAGTATCGCCTAACGAAATCTACCGCGGTTTTTGGAGCGTGCCATTCAATAAGTTACCAAGTATCATGCCAATTGGGGATTACAACGACAACCATTTACCCAATCCGCCAAAAAGCTCATTATCAAGTGATTAACTGCACAATATTTCACTACAAAGTGATCAAAGTTACTATAATTTAGTACGAGACAAAGAATACTCAAATGATCTATAAACGAAACAGATTAATGTTTACCGTTCGGACGGGAACAACGTTTAATTATAATTATAGGTAATTTGATTTCAATATTTGGTGCGTTACTCGCTAACACGTGATTAGAATAAAATCTCAGTATTAGAGAAGAGTTAGAGTGGAAGAAGTTGTTCAAGTACGAGCGGTTAGTGATGAGAAATTCAGACAGAAGGAAGGTAATTATAAAGAACTTAAAAAAATCCTTACCCTCATCATCATAGCCTGCATCAGGTGGCGATCTGGGTGGTGTCACGAAAACGGGAGGAGCAGAGCTTGGTGGTGTCCAATCTTCTAAACCACTTAGAGGTTCGCCATTCTAAAATAGATTTTTTTTATAAAGGTCAGAATTTATATTTAAGTGTTTTGGTTCACATTGTAATGAGAGGCAAAATAATTTGCTTGTTGTGCAGAAAGCATAACATAATTACATTTTATATTATAATTACACATTACATATGTAAAAATTGGTATTTGTTTGTTCGTATTTTGTGCGCTGCGATACCGTTCATCAGATTACGCAGAAACTTTGTCAACATATTGCTTGCACTTATACGAAGTTTATAGGCATGGTACAATTAACTTACAGTAGGTGGCGCGCGTATCGTACCGATAAATTTATTTGAAAGTTATATAATTATATCATTCAATTTGATCATGAATGTAATATCATTCCCAATTAAACAATATAACTCTTCAAAATTTAAAACGATATTTCCACAATTATTGCTTTTGGGGCAGCAATGTGTCGGGTACCAGCTAGTATAATTATAAAATATTCCCTATGACAGTTACAATGTCTCGAGTGATTTGCAGCTTTTTTCGCAGGAGACATTTTTGTCTTATCATTCAGACTCTACTAGTGTCAATATTATTTAATTAACTCAGTATTATATAATTAACTTTGATGTTATTGAAAATCAGTAAGGATCATGTATTTATTTAAATTAATATAATAGGTCGGAGAAAAAGTTTTTGTTTGTATAAAATTGAAGAAAAATCTCTTTGGTTGTACTGTTTGTATTTGTCTTGTCTGGTATATGACATTAAGAAAAAGAAAAATAAAAGTAAAAAAAACACTTTCCCGCCATTTTTCAATTGTTTTTCTGTCTATCAAAATGAGTGAATTTAATGAAGAAATTCGATATCGTTTTATTACAAAAAAGTGTAAAATGTGACTCCGTGCTTTACGTACAAAAACTTCGGCCTTCTATAGAAATATTAACATGAATTCTTATGATGTATATGTTTATCAGAAACTTGGTTGAAGCGTTAAAGATAGCTAATTTTTCGATGATAGGTCAAACATTGGGGGGTGGAGTGTTAATTGCTGGTCGCCGAGACCTCAGCAGAAGTTCATAGCGATTGGTGTTCGAATGCCGAGGACTTATGGGTAACATTGACACTTAAATGCCGAAATCCTAAGGTAGTAGTAGTATAAATTGCATATTGTACGATTTGTATATATATATATATATATATATATATATATATATATATATATATATATATATATATATATATATATATTGAACCAAAGCGTATTTTGTTCACTACCAACTCAGTTAGCCGCTTACTCCGGAATACTTTGTGATACAATATTAATCCTTTGGGATAAATTTATAATTCTTGGCGACTTTAATATGCCTAACATAATTTGGAAGTCGTGTGATCAAAACATTTCATATATTGCCGAGAACATACTGGGGCTCTAGTCAGTTTGATTTATTTGATAACATTAATATATGCAGTTTATCGCAATACAATTATATCATCATCATTACAGCCCTTCACAAGTACACTACTGAACATAGGCCTCCTCTAAAGAATGCCACAAAGCACGGTCCTGAGCTACCTGCATCCATCGACTTCCAGCATTTCTTACCAGGTCGTTACTCCACCTAGTGGGGGGACTCCTTAAAATTCGTCCGCCAATACACGGCTGCCACTCGAGAACCTTTTCCCCCCATCGGTTATCGCTTCTTCGAGCTATATGGCCGGCCCATTGCTACTTCAGCTTACTAATCCTTTAGGCTATGTCGGTAGTTCTGGTTCTACTGCGGATATACTAATTTCTAAGTTTATCACGTAGAGAAACACCGAGCATAGCCCTCTCCATAGCTCGCTGAGCGACCTTGAGCTTCCTCATACGGCCAGCTCTGAAGGAACACGTTTCAGTTCCATAGGTCATCACTGGCAACACGCACTGGTTGTACAGTCTAGTTTTTAAGTTTTGAGGTATACCTGACGAGAAGATATGTCATAATTTCCCGTACACAGCCGACTTGAATCCGTCGATTGACCTCTCGGTCGAAATTGGACTTATCTAGTCGGACTATTTGTCCCACGCAGGTAAACATAATCGTCAAAAACTTCGAGCTTAGTGTTCCCAATAACTACTAGGTGTGACATGGACGTTACACATGACTTTTGTTTTGCCCATGTTCATCTTAAGACCGTCGACAAATCGAAGGTGAATGATGTACTCGCTATTGACCTTAATACCTTATCCTTTCCAGTCCAGTAGCTTAAAAACGTCTTCCAACGCACCGGTGAAGAGTTTCGGGGAAATAACGTCACCCTGTCTTACACCTCCTTGCAGTTGTATAGGTTTCGTACTCTGGTTCTGTACTCGGATAGCAATCGTAGCCCTTTTGTACAAACACTTCACTACTTCGATATACCGACAGTCAACTTGGCACCGCTGAAAGGACTGCAGCACCGCCCAAATTTCGACGGAATCAAAGGCTTTCTCATAGTCCACATACGCCAGACATAGTGGCAAATTTTACTCCTCGAACTTCCTCTTGCCTGTACGCTGTCAAATCTGCTGAAGACTGCAGCTTCATTTCCCGACTTACAGCCATGAGATTAAGAGTGTGATCGGAGAGTTTTTGTGTTCTTCTGCGGCAGGTCTTGCAGAACTTAGCTCTGACCGCATGTACAGTTTCCACGAGGTTGTTATTCATATCGTCCACTGCATTGTAATCTTCTAGGCACTTTAAATGGTTTTGTATAGCATTATATAGCATTGACTTTATTAAACGAGACCTCTCCAACTTAACGTTCAAATTCAGTGTGCCTCTAACCATTCGGTGATCGCTACCAGTTTTTACCCTCGCGATCACTAAGACATCACTGAACAGTTGTCGTCATAATGAAGTCAGTCAATCTCATTTTTTGTCGAATCATCGGGGCTCGAACAGGTCCACTTCCTGTGGGGCCGCTTCTGGAACAAAGAGTTCATCATAAAGAGTCCCTTTTTCTCCATAAAGTCGGCCAGCTGCTGGCCCTTTTGGTTCCGTTGCCCTATTCCAAATTGCCCTACTTTCAGCTCATCGTTCTCTCTTGTGCCTAGCTTTACGTTGAAGTCTCCAATTAATACCGTATAGTGGGTTTTGGAGGAATGCATGGCTCTAGATATATCCTCATACATTTCCTCCACCTACTCATTGGGATGTGCCGAGGTTGGTGCGTAAACCAGTATGACCTTCAGCGAATACCGTTTGGTGATTCAGAGTATAAGGTACGCAACCCTCATCGACACACTCGCAATATTTACAACGTTGTTAACGAGAGACTTGTTGACGATAAATCCGACACCTCCTTGGGACAGATGGTCGCCCTCCCGGTGATAGAACAAGTTGCCGGATTCGAGGATTACCATGTCCTCCCCTCTCTTCGGATCTCTTCTTCCAGCTTCTTCTCGTCAGTCCTCAGGGTGCGAGCGTTATATGTTGCCAGGTCGAGTTCTCTTAGGTTACGTGACAACCGAACCTCCACCGGAGCAATTACATATATACAATACAATTATATACATAACATAAATAATAGAATTTTAGACTTAATATTTTCTAACAGCACGGTAACTGTTAATCACTGCCGAAACCCGCTAATACCCGAAGATACTCATCATCCAGCTCTGTGTGTGTCTCTGCAGAATTTATTTTACTTCACACTCTTAAAAGTCGTCCTTATACTAAATTTCTGCATCAATCTCATGACTACGATTCTGTTATTTCAAAACTTAATGCCATTGATTGGCATCAAGAACTTAACTCTGAGCCGTTAGAAGATGCCTTGTTATTATTTTATAATAAATTAGCTGACCTCCGTCAAGCTTACATCCCTACTAAGACTTTTACACCAAGGTTTAAATATCCCTTATGGTATAAGAGACCCCTAATTAAAATTTTGAAAGAAGAGCATACGTATCACTTGAAATGTAAGAAATACGGGAATCAATCTGACCTTCAATCGTTTATTAGACTCAAAGAACAAGGCAAGACTGGAAAAACAAATGTTTGATACATACACTTCTAACGTAGAAAAAATTTTTGTAATAAACCTAAAGCGTTTTGTTCTTATATAAAAACCAAAAAACAAAGTTAATTCATATCCCGCTGTATTACGTTTTGGAGCGAAATCGTCGAGATTGTGGCGCAAAAATTTCCAATTTGTTTAGTGATTATTTTTAGTCAACTTTTTTGAATACTACCCATACGCACATTAACCCAGTCACCTTTCAAATGAACTATAACATACCGTCTGATATAGGGTATATACTCACATTTGACGGAGTATTTAAGCTTTTAAAACTTACGTAAATCTTAAGTAAATCGTAAGACTTAAGTATCTAATGATGTACTTAAGTCTAAGTGTGTAAGAACACAGCTGGGCCTGAAAACATACTGGCTGTTTTTATCGTGAGATGCGTCAAGAGCCTTGCGTTTCCTTTGACTGTATTGTATTGTATCCGCGTTCTTTGTCAGAAGGTTTAATACCAAGAATGAGGAAATCGGCTTATGTCACCCCAATTTATAAAAAAGGACCAAAAAATCAAGTTGTCAACTACCGACCTATTTCCAAATTATGTCTATTTGCAAAATTACTAGAAAGGATTGTCTATGATCTACTAAACTATATGCTGCCCTAAAACATGCACTTAGCTTTCAACAACACGGTTTTGGCAAGGGTCGGTCAACAACCACTAATCTTTTATTATCTAGTATGATGTACTTATCGGAACATGTCAGAGCCCTCTCAAGTCGATGTGGTCTACACAGACTATAGTAAATGCTTTGATCGAATAGACCATAAATTTGCTGCTATTGCATAAAATTCAATCAGTAGGAATACGCGGTAATTTATATCGGTGGTTCACCTCCTACGACCAAAATCGGAGCCAGACAGTTGCGCCAAAGCGGTTACTAAGGCCATGCCAATACCATCTGGTATCCCAAAGTTTCGCATTTTATCGCTTTATAAGAGAAGGCGCATAGCGGATCTATCGTTTCTAATAAATATAGCAAGTAGCACGATCGACTGTCCCGAACTATTGCAGCAAATATGTTCAAAACTTTAATACGCGAACCGTGCAAACTGCCGGCAGCAGCTGCCGGGAGTAAATACAAACTACAGACAAAATTCTTATTTGATAAAAGTGAGCACTAATTTCAATAATGTGGCGAAAATACACAATGTAGACTTAACACCTCTAGCAGGCAACTTAAACGTCTACTGAGTAATAAGTTTTTCGTTTACCGATGTGTATTACATATACTATGCATTGTTATTTATTTCATTTTACTTCTGAAATCATCTTTTATTGTGTAATCAAGTCTTCGTCGACGTTACTTGTGCAATTTTTCTCTGTACTTTATTGGAACAAAGTTCCTTATCGAACGGTACGGGTTTGGCGGATGGGAGCTAGGCGATAAAAAGTGTAAGATTTTTTCGTCACTACCCCTTGTGTCATAGTGTATTTTATTTTAAATGACGCTTCATTTTAATAGACGCTAGTAATACATTTATTTGTTATTGGTTATCAATAATATAATACGTTTATTAATTATAAGGAACTTCGTTCCAACCGAGTGTTCCACGACACTCACGCATGTTTTTTATAAGTGGGAATTTTTAATTGTTCTTCAGTACATTTATTTTTTATTGTTCATACATTTATAACTAGCTGTAAGTTCTTCTAAAATCATAATAAATAAATAAAAAATAAAGTACCAGAAAATATACGAGTCTCTCTAAGTTTAAATATTAGGTCTTTACTTATGAAATGGCCGTTTTTACGAAATAAGGTAACGTATTTTCTTTTCTATATTTTATATTTCTATTAATCAAAATAATTACCCATACAATCGATGCATCTTTGCCAACGCAGTGGCAGTTTAATGATGCCCTTCTTGAAAATAGCAGCTGGCTGGGAGGCAACAATTGAATTGAATGTTTTTCCCGCTAATAAGTTATCTACATTCTGGAAAAAGTAGAAGTTTGTAGGCCCAAGGTATGGTGAGTATGACGAATGACCCCTGCTCTTGTAACTTGGAGTCCATCTGTAGTGCAGTACGAGGTGGCGCGCTGTCGTGCAGGAGCTGCGGGGATGAGTGATTGACCAAAGCTGGTTGGAGACGTGCGAGCTTCTTCATCATTGTGTTCAGTTCTTCACAGTACACATCTGCAGTAATGCTTATCCCGTATGGTAAGAAGCTGCGATGAATCACACTGGCGCTACACCACCAAACTTTTACAGCACTGTTAAGTGTTGAACCAAGATCTAACCAACTTGCTAAGTGTTTGCGATTGTCATAAAGAATCCACTTTTCGTCGCAGGTAAGTGCGGTTCAAAATTCCTTCGTTTTTGTGTCTGTTGAGCAGTGTAAGGCACGTCTCAACGCGTACTTCGCGCTGGCGATCATTGAGTTCGTGGGGCACCCATTTGTCAAGCTTTTTTACCTTGCTAATTTGACCCAAATGGACCAATATTGTTTTGTTACTAACGTTGAAAGCTGCTGCTAATTCAGCCATAGATTGAATTCCACAATCAGCTTAATTCGTCATTGTCATTGCTCCGTAAACGTCGTTGATGTTGCGTGCTGCTTCTGCCGCGTTGCTGTTACGACGGTACTCATATTCTATAATTACTCGAATTTTTAACGTATCCATGGTAAAGAAAAAGATTCAAATGCGATGAAAACATAACGGTAATCGATAAACAAATGACTATTTAAAAAAAAAGAATTCTATGTTTTTAAAACGAAATAAATTTGAAATTAGAATTCTAAGCCAAAACAAAAATTATTTCGATTTGAAGTAGCCAGTACTGCAGAACGGCAATATCATAGATAAAGACCTATTTCTTTATTAAACAAAAACTGTATAAAAAGGGTTATTATAATATAAATGAATACATGGTTGATAATAACCCCTGGGAATGAGGTGGTCGCTTCCAAGCTGTTTCTAAAAGAACTATTGTAAATAGTTTGTACAACCTTTCTTATTGTACAATTTACTTTGAAAAAAAAAAGTCCCACTGTTATAGTTGCTGGTTCTTCGCAGGACAGAGGAGGACCAGTGGTAAAAGTAGCAAATGATTTTCAATAAGAATTACATGTAATTTATATTAAATAATAAGATTGACATTTTGTATTTCAAGTAATCGATGCACGCCACGCACCAGGTCACTTTCATAATTTCAACAAGAACAAACATCTAAATCCTAATGCAGGATTCAAATACGCGGTCCATAACGCCGTACTACGCTGCTACCTTTATCTACACATAATCATAAAAACTGAAAATATGTATGTATAGTTATGGAAAATACTTTTTTGTAATAGGTTATTGTGATTTTATAATAGGCAATCATTTCAGTTGGAAATGTAATTTGGGTGACTTTTATGTAAAATAATTTCAAGCTAATATTTATCATAATCAACATTACAGCCTTTTACAAGTCCCCTGCTGAACATAGGCATGCCGCAAAGCTCGTTACGAGCAATAGTTAGTTTAGCTAATATTGATATCAAAATGAAATGTATATGTTTGATTATTTTGCCTTTTTCTAAATCAAAATATTTTTATATACATACCTCATCACATTCTTCAACTATCAATGAGGGGAAGTTGCCGATAACACCATTCGCTTCTCCACGCCACCAACCGTCGTCCACGCCATGTGCATCGCGGGAAACGATACGAATTATCTGAAAAAATGATATGTTAATCAAATAATTTATAGAAATTGAATATTAACAGAATAAAGTGCCTGAATCATATAATTTTTGACTGCTATAAAACCAATCAATATTAATGATACCTGTCCCTCTTCAAGATTTAGCTCATCAGAAGCATCTGCATCGTAGTCGTAAAGAGCAAAGCAATAGCCGAGTGTTGGCAAATTTTCAGGTTGACTGGCTTCTGTCTTTGGTAGTTCTTCGACTTTGGGCTCTTCAGGTTTAGCGGTTGGTGCCGAAATCACAGAAATCTGGTCTGGAGATTGTACAACCTCCGCGTCTTCACCTTCAACTGTATAATCCACCGATGAGAATGATATCTGCGTAACCAAACCTGGTGCGCTTGAAACCTAAAAATATAAAATCTTAATTTCGACCATTTCAAATTCTTATTATTCAAAATCTAATTATTAAAATCGCGATACCTGTTCTCGTTCCACATCAAGATAGTTATTTGGTACATATCCTTCCTCTCCACGATAATTTCTAGCACGCAACCAGCCGTCACCGTCGCCTTCACCAACCACCTCTAATTGTTCATTCTCAATAATCGACAATTCATCGGGATTTTGGGCCTACAAAAAATGTATTAAGCTAATTCTGTTTAATTTTATTATGGGTCAAAAGTTTTCTGTAGCCTTACGTACCGTATAAGAGTATAAAGCTGTACATTTGTACAATGGGGCAGCGGGTGGTTCAGTTGTCTCAGGGGCAGTAGTAGCCTCCGGTTCCGATTCGCCCCAATTGACTTGCGTTGGATCATCCCAACCAACCGTTAACTGTTCTATACGCATGCGATCCTCTTCTAACTCCGCTGCAATTTTAAATTATGAGATGATTTTTAATGCAATTCCTTTTAAGAGCTATCGTTTAATAAAATTAAACTCACAATCATCCACTTCTTCTTCTTGTTCATCTTCGTTTTGTGAATCAGATGTAGTGCGTTGGTGTCCACTTGTGGCAACGGTAGCAGCTGCTGAAGTGGCTGCTTCCCCTTCAGTATTGTCACTGTCATAAAGTGAATCCGAACTGGGTTGATCCTATGTAAATGTAAGAAACAATTTGAATTTGCGATACTATTAGAATAAAAACATTTTTTTAGTCGAATTAATGTACATACAGCTGCACCCGATGCATCGGTGCGGACGCTTAGAAGGCTGCTGCTGCGTGGCAGTGTATCTTGTACTGCCAATAAATCAATTTCCTTGAGCCATTCATCTACCGGTGCACCGCTGTTCCTCAAGCACTCAAGCCGAGCTTCATATTTAGCTTTCGATGTTTCAGAACGTCGAATATTTGATCGAAGTTCATCCATTCTCACTTCTAGTTCTGGTCCATTTGGATCGTTTGGATCGACCTAAAATACACAATTTTACATAAACACTCACGCCTGTCCCCTTGAGGGGTAGGCAGAGACTACGAATTTCCATTTGGCACGATCCTGGCACACTCTTCTCACTTCCTCCACATTCATATACCTACGCATATATGCTCGTCAGTTAAAGGTACTCTTAATTTGGCCCATTTTCAATATATCGCTAATTTGGTCGATAAACTTACGCCTAAGGCGTTTCTTCCCGACTCTGCCGTTCACCTCTGCATCATAAATTTGCTTTGTCACACTTTCCTCATTCATTCTTTCTACTTGACCAAGCCACCGAAGCATTCCTTTCTTAATCCTGGTCACAACATCATCTTGCAAACCACACTCTTCTCTTATCAAACAATTTCTCACCCTTTCATTCAGATTCATCCTTAACATACACCTTAATGACCGCACATTTACAGCATTTATTCTACTCTCTTGCTTCTTCTGCCATACCGAACTTTCACTACCATACATTAAAGTAGGGACTAATACAGCATTGTGCCATTCGTGCCTTTTGGACACATTCTGATACTACATACAATGTTAATATCTAAAAAAATAAATTTGCAAAGAAATATCTCAGCGAAACCCTCACTTTTTGTCCAGCGTCCCGCATCGCTTGGTAAAGATGCAGTTTGCGCGTAGCATCTCTTACTAGTGCAGTCTCGCGCACCACACGAGTAGCCCAACGACGAGCTTCTTGTGCAAGAGTTTGCGATACTGACTCGTGCTCCATGGTTACGGTGTCCACTGGATCATTGTCGCATGGCTCAAACTCATACTATAACAAGAAAACTAAGTGTTTAGTTAACATTGACTTCAAAATTATTATTATACTTATAGTTACAGTCCAAACGTTAAAAAAAAAAAACAACAAAATTAAAACAAAATAATATATAAAATTATAATACCGCATCTCTCAATCACATAGTGAAAATAGCAGTTTACAATTACGATTAAATGAAAGCCTAAAATTTATTTTAAACATTTATATTCGAGCGCAATCTACTCGAGTGGTAAAGGTGTTGATAATGGGAACTTTGTTTTAGAATCATTGCAAATTTTCATACAGAAATTCAGTTGTTCAATTTGAAAACAGTTGTCAATTTTAGTACAGAATTCATTATCTGAAGCCACTATAAAACCGCGTACATATTTATACATCTATCCATCAATTACAGTCTATAAGATTACACTACCGAAAAAAACCCGTCTGCAAAGATTAATTCAGAGAAAGTTTTTGCCATAGCTGCCACGCCTTTTTATAATTTTCGGTTGTTATATCTACTATGAGATGCTGCTGCCCTTTTCGTGTTTCGGATTCCCTCTGAGGCCTCTTACGGCACAGGTATAAAATGTTTTATATACAAGGTACAGATTTAGAGTAATATTTTATTTTCATTTCTTTTTAAAATAAAGTTCTGAGGCCTATGCCTGTGCTTATATATTTCCACTAGGAAACAAAAACTTCTCTAGTTTAAAAGGTGTTTTCAGAAGCTGACACATATATGTATATGCATAGATATGTACTCGTATCTATGAGAGAAACGAACGTAAGTAAAATTACTTGTACTAACTTGTAATAAAACGTCTAATATATGAATAGATTTTTCTAATCATGTTAGCAGTATAATTTTTCAATTAGATTGTTTTGCTTTTTACCTGAATGTGTTGTTTTAGAACTGGGTAGTATAAGTACAGGCATTGTAAGTTGTATTCTCTGGTCAGCTGTTGAGCCTGATCTCTGATTTTGCCAAAAGAGTGCTGCGTGGCAGAACAAGTCAAGAGTTCCGTACGACCCATAAGAGTAAGATAATCCGATACTTTTTCGTACACGGATGATTCCATGTTTTGCATGCATGTCTGAAGCTCTACCAGGAAATAGCGGTTCTGAAAATATTACAACATGAAATATACCGATTTTCTTCGTTATAATATATTTTAATCTCGTCTCTTGTAAATTTCGTATTCGATCACTCATGGCGTTTCATTTACTAAAAATATTTCAATAGTAAAAATATTTCAAAAGAATTTACAGCCGTATAACTTGCATTTTATTTTGTTTATTCCATCTCTGTTATGTTATGATTAAATTTATATATTTTGAAATATACGTTACCTGATGAGCGTTAGCCGCGGCGATACTCAAGAGATAGTCATTTCTGGCCCCCGTTGACTTTTCCTCAAGTTGATCTCGCCGCGAGGAAACTTTTGCACTGTTCTTTTGTAGTGATGTAATAGATTGAAAGAAGGAACCCTTCTTTTTCTTTAACCTGAATATATAAAAATTAACCCGTACTTCTTTCTAGAATCTTACTAATTTAAATTTTTATGATCTATTTTTAGTGTATACGATGTTTTAGCTGAAAACGTGGCATGGTTGCATCAAAATAGAAGTGTAAGTATAGTGTTCTTTTCATGTGAAAATTATCTGTATTTTTGTGTTCTGGGTAAAGTACTCAGAAGACCTTTTATTTTATCAATTTTAGGATTTATCAAAAAAACCATTTTTTTTCGAATAAAACATAGCCCAGATCACTCATGGCTTTGCTATCTATCTGTTCATTTCAATCGGTTCTACCAATCCGAAGACTGGCCTGGACAGACAGATAGAAAGAAAACAGACGTATTATATAAATATGTAGATAAACCCAAAGACAGACAAAAAATTTATCAAATTGATTAGTGCATTGTTAAGTCATATTGTCTTACTTATACAAGTTAATGTGTTTTTTTATTTGTGTTTTATCGTATATAAGTAAACTAGGCCCAAAATAATTATTTTTAGACCATACAAACACTTGTTCCGTTCGCGATTCAAACCTGCGGCGCTAGCGGAATCGCAATCAAACACTTTAGCGCTACAAATCCGCCGCAATAAGAATTTATTTTTTAACAATGGCTAATAAATTATTGCAAAATTTTAGTTCTTACGAGTAACTAGTCGTAGCTTGCTGTAGACGTTTGAAAGTAATCGGAACTAGTAGCATCAGTTCTTCGAAAGGTTTGAATTTACTAAGTGATCCCGTCCATTGCTGAAAATGGGCCTCCCCTAAGGAATGTTATAAAGCACGGTGCTGAGCCACCTGAATCCTTTGAGTCCTACATGTTTTAACAGGTCGCCACTATTCCGTGCGATCCTACACTTTTTTACCGGTAGGAGGCTGCCACTCGTGAAACCTTTCTTGCCTATCAATTATTGTCTATTATTCGAGTTATATGACTGGCCTATTGATACTTCAGCTTGCTGATCTGTTAGACCAGCAGTGAAGGACGACAGATTCTTAAGTCATCACAGGCAATATATTACGCAATAAAATTATCTAATTATCGTAATAGTGAGATAAGATACGACCTATAAAACATCTTTGGATACATCCAATACAGTCCTTCTTCTTCATCAGACCGTCCACAAGGTAGACTTGCCGTAATCGCTACACTAACTTGACACTTACTTTTCCTCAATATCCTTGGCTTTGTCCCGGACGTCATGTGCGGTATGTTCTTCATCGAAGTATAGCTTCTTGGTCTTATCCACTTCCACAACTGTCAATTGAAGCTCTTTATGTGCTTGAGCTAGCGAATCGGTGCACTGTCAAAAAAATTTTCAGTGTTAAAAATGTAAGCAACTCCAAGGGCGGTAGTAATAATACTTAGTGTTTTGTGAAAACATACCAGGGACATCATTTTATTGTATATATACATGGTAGCACCAGCAGCAATTTTATTTGACATGTAGCATGTGATTAGTTGTAGCACTAATTGGTCGGCACGACCTGGGTAGGACTGCCATTTACATTCCATGGCTTCCTACATGATAGTCGAAGAGTTTAAAAAAGAGATTGAGTTGAACAATTGATATTTTCAAAAGTTATCGTGTTTACTCCTCTATGTCTCCTTTATGTCACTAAAACCTCTTTTTTATGTAAAAATAGCAACAGATGAATTTAAAAAAATAAGTTCAACAATCATTTATCTTTCTGACGATGTGATTTTTATATAATATATATGTTCACTATGATTTTTAGATACGATTTCATGCAACAAAACGGAATTTTGATTTTTGGGTTCTGGGTAAAGGTCTTTTTGATCTTTGCGCTTAAGGCATGCAATAAAAATTCAGAACTAATTTTTTTTTTATACGTTAATAAACAAAAGCTCGTTGAAGCCTGATAAACAATAATACCAATCATAGAAAGCACTAAAAACAAAACATATTTAACGGGTCGATAGTAACTGAAGCCAATGAAAATGATAAAATTTTAATGACACATTCTTTACACGTAGTTATTAAAATCGTATTGTAGCATCTTATAAAATTAAAAACAATTAATTTAATTGGATCATCCTTAACACCTATTAACATAAATGATATTAGTTAAAGAGTCCATTAAATAAGACCGAAAAGAACTTTTGGCTTTGATAATATTTCGATGTATTTATTGCACAATCCTTAAAGTATATAAGTAAAACAATCGTTTATATTATAAACGTAATGGTATGAACAGTTGCATGACTTAAGAATTGCTCTTGTAATGACTACAAAAAAGAATCGATGCAAGAGGAAGAACCAAGAAAACATTGTTGACACTGATATAAAATTCATAAAATTAACCTAAAACCATTTTCATACCGTGAAGGTCGATATCAAGCATATATTATGAACACTTATAATATTAATAGTAGAACTATTGAAACTTAAGTCTAAGCTTAGAAAAGTTAATTTTGGTGTTCCTCTTGAATGTAATCTCGGCCTTTCTTTATTATTGATATACAGTAACGAATTATTTAATATCGCAGAAGATTTAACAGTTAGAAAGGTTTAAAACAAAGACTAAAAATCTCCTGTTTAGAAATTATAACACCAATACAATCCATTTAAAAATAGTATTCGATGTCTCAGTCGGCGAAGAAGTAGAAAATACAAGATTTCTTAAAGTTAAAATTGACATTCACCTAAATTGGATATATATAGATTTTTTTACACTTCGGTAATACTAAAATTAAATTGAAGCTTCTATTTACTATAGAACAACAGGCACTCAAATGAGGTGATTAGGAATAGGATTGTCATTTTTAATGAAAACAGCTTCTTAAGAACTAACACGACTACTCCTGCCAACGAAGTATGCTGTCAAAAGTTGTAAAGGATGATTGAGACGATTGCTTAACGGCAGAGACATGTTAATTGTTTCTAATCCAGTACCTACTTTTAGGTTAGGGACAAACTAGACCCACAAATGCAACGGCATGGCAGAAAACAGGATGGCCGTCATACAAATTTTAAAAAGTTATAATTCAGCAAAGGTTAGGGATAGTTTGGTGATGCTCGAACAAATGATGTAGGGACCGACAAGGGTCAACTACTGGCGATAATAAAATCAAGATGGTGGATTTAATTTGGCGATCAAAAATTGACAATGACGCATTAAATGAAATAAACAGACTTAATCAGAAAACATAAAACATATAAAAAAATATATAAATAATATATTAACATATCCAACAATAACTAAAAAGTATCTGATAAATAAATAAACAGTAAAAACATTTTTAAAAACCAGCTTTTATTGAAATGCTCTAAAAAGAAGAAAATAAATATTAAATTAAATCGAACCAATCAATTTATAACATTACACAATATATATGATATATAAATAAATATTAAAAAAGATTTTCAAAAACAAGCTTATATTGAAATGTTTGTTTATCCTAGTTATGTTACGATATAAAACATGATTTTATATATTCTGGAAATAACACATTGTAGATATTCTATATATTCATGTATTTTTTGCATTATAAATCATAAATTTTAAGAAGAACTACCTAAGAACTACTACCTAAACGTTTTCTTTGTGGCCTGGATATTCGTTTATGAACATCAGACTAAGTAAATCATTCTCAAACTCGCTCTCAGAACCAGAAAACCTGGTATAAATTATAAATTTTTACTCGTGCGTCCGCCAAAAAATGACATGAGTACCTGACGCCAAACGTGTACACCAACGTGGGATCGTTGCATCGTATACATTGCGTACGTGGGACCAGTCTGTCCCTACTCTTACACGTTTACCTTTTACACACTTTATATTAACACGAATGAATCATGAATTGGTTCAAATGCCAGAAAACTGTCAAAAATGGTTGCAAAAATTAAATTTTATAAAAAAAAAACATTAAAAATGTCTTCCAAATTGCAATGTCACAGGCTTACACATGAAAATATTGTTAAAATTCGGCTTAGTAATGTTTAGATTAATATTAAAATGAATTAATTAATGTAAGCTAACATATTATACGGCTAGGTACGACTTTGAACATAGATTGGAAACTTCATTTCCGTATAGGAGCTACACATGTTATCCATTTAATTAGCGTATGTCGTGATCTGATTAAGTCTCGTTGGTCAGTAGAAAATACACATTGGCCTTTGAGGATTTACAGACTGCTCTGGAAACGGTGCAATAATTATCCAATTTAGAAACTTATTAGATAGGACCAGTAACAAGCAAAGCTAATGCAGTTTTAGCATTTATTTAGTGCTCATGACTCATGTACCTTTTTATTTACTCCATGTTTGTTGCATAAGTAACAAGTAATAACAAATATAATAACGAGGTTTTTATCGGCGCAGTAGAGGATTATGTTCCTGATATTAAGACCAACAACTATAGGAGATACAAAATATCACTTCCTGAAGTGCCCGACCATTTCATAAAATGGTGACATATGACATTTCATGATGTATACAAACATTACTGTCCATATTCTTTAAATGTCAACGTTTGTCGATTTGTCCATTCACATTTGGCCATATCACTTCAAAACGCCCAATGTATAAGTATACCAGCTTTGGATTGGCTTAAAGGCCACTCAAATCGCACTTTAACCTGTCGCTGTTATTACTAGAATGCTGCTTTTGTTATTTTTTTTTCACAATGTTAGCAGTAGTCATAGTAATAAATTATTGCACATATTATAATATGTATCATGAAATTCGCAGGCAAACACAATCTGCGTAATTTTACGATCGAACTACAACAAACTACTAGCAACCTAAGCGGTGTTTAATAAGTTTACAATATAAGCAGTTATGTTTGAGCACATCATAAAGTAGCCATATCGTCAAACGTTCTCTGTTCATTGATGGGTCTAAAGCATATCGTTATGTAGACAACAGATAGTATATATTATATTGACCAAGACCTAAGGATTACACCGTCAACATTTGTCGAGCCTGTCACTGTTCGGGCATGTCATCTTTGGTTTTTCGGTACTTTCTAACTTTGACCATCTGTACAGATGAATAGATGAATGGTAATATTTTCTTCTTGAATGATTTTCTCTTATAACGTAAAGGCGTTTTAGAACGGTCATTTTCAAGCACGGCCTCCGGTGAGTACTTATTATAAGACATTATTTGATTTACGAAATCAAATTTCAGAGCGAGCTTCTGATGTACAATCCCGGCTGCTATCAATTTAGTAAATTACCGTAAAAATACTTTAACGAAACAGAAGAAAATCTCAGCGTGGGAGTGGGGCAACGGTTTTTTATAATAAAACGAAAAAATATTGTAAATTGAAGGATTGTGTTACAATGGAGTGCTGATAAAAGTTCTTCTTCTTGCAAATTATTGCTTCTCTTGATAGAATTCTGCCAGTGTCAAGTCAGTCATGGGAGTGACAAGTAAATATTTATTACATTAAAGAGTTCTCAATTTTAGGAGTGGGTTCACAATCTATAACAAAAGACGTCACATTTTTAAGTACCATCACCAAAATTGATTAGTAATTTTACAGTTTAATATTATTAATACGGATAAAATCACACAAAATATTTACAAAAGGAGTATACACTAGGGACAACAAATACTGGAAATTTACAGGACGCGGGACGTAATGGGGCAGGATATCATAGAGCTGCTAAAAGTTGATAGTACTTTTGATGGTACTCACAAAATGTTGACAAATATTTGATACCCTACGACACGGTTAACATTTGCAGAGACATGTATTTTCTCTCTTACAATACTGTGTACCTACTTTTTGCGTTTACGACTAGCCTTTGATGTGCTCTCGTCATTTGTTTTGCTCTGTACTTTGGATATTCCAACGAGTTCAAATTTAACTAAAAGCTCCCATTGACTTCAAAAAAGGTAAATAAGCTTGAAATATTTTTGTTCTTTTTGACAAAACAAAAACTTTGCCCTTTAAATATATATTTATATTTTCTATTTATATGGTTATTTTGGAGTATACTGCCCATTGTGTAGTTCTTAATTGTTTAATTTCACCAAGAACATTACAGGCCACGTCTAGTTAAATGCTGAGCCACCTGCATCTACTTCGTTGTCACTCTATCTAGTAGAAAGGCCGGTTAGTTGATACTGTTATCCTCTACGAACACCAATTGCCACCAAGAACACCAACTTAAACTTCTGAGTATATTCACCATTATATATGAATTTAGGCTTTTAATTGATTATTTTTAGTTGATTATTAATGAAATTAAATATTTATCGGTACCCCACGGCTTCGCTGCGCATAAACTAAACATTAGTAAAAATTTCCTAAAAAGTATATCGAC